ATGAAGCATTATTGTACCGAAACGTTTTGTATCACTCTGAACGACATGGTACTGAATGGTTCCATCTTTAGAACCAGACCTTTAGAAACCTCACAGGTACATTGCGCATACCCCCACTTTCACCAACAAAGAGAGGATGGACAAATAAGAGAAATCACGTGATATGTTCCGTAAAGGTAATTCTACACAAAATTTGTACACAAATCGTACAATATTTGTGTACATAGACATTTTGGCAAAAATTCTCTCCTTTTTCAAATGGATTGTCTGTATACACTGAAAACTAAAAATTTGTAAATAATTTGTATACTAATTTTGTGTACAAATGTATTTTTTCCGTTTCGTAATCATAACGCCTAGCTGTGGAGCTTACACTGATGTTTGTAAATGGTTTTGTTTCCATTCCAAATTCGACCAGACAATACCAGATATATCAAATCAGACATTCACTAAGAATATACATCTATCGGATCGTACCTTTTCAAATTAGATCAAACCATATCACACCACACGTGAAAATATCAATCCAATTAGAAGCATCCTATAAAAACATTTGGGGTCAGAATTTTGGACTACGTGGCTTAGTTAGGGATAAATAATTTACCTTTTTTAGGAATAAGTGTGTGTTTGGTTATCCTATTTTTTGTTAGTCTTGTCAATCAACATTTTCATCAAACACGTAATTTTTGATTTTGTGCGATGAATTGTATGATAATCAAAATAAGTAATGTTTTTGGCCTAAGTTACTGTAGATGGTCATTGTAGCCATTTTTATATAATTTCTTTTTTATTTTATTAATAAAATATATTTTAAATACTTTTTCATAAATTAATAGCACCGGTCACTTCAATCGTAATTTCATAAATTGCAACAGATCAGTCGATTCAGCCAATTTCAATGTCAACAAACGAATTCTAAATTCCGCTTGTCCTACAAGTATTGCATCAATTTCGCAATTGATTCAACTCTAATCGCCTTTCGTACAGTGTTATTGGTTTTCATTCATACGTACTTACGGAGTATATGATTCTTTTTTTAGTTAAACAATTTCCTTTTATTCACTTTTTTTTTGAGGTAGTATAAAATAGTCCATATGTATTGTATATAAAAAAATTGGTATGATGTATTAATAGGTCATATGTGTTTTATAGAAAATATATATTTTTAGTTTCTTAATTAAATCGGGTTTTTTCGGTCCGGGTCGGGCTTAAAATTTTAGAACCCGAATTAGGACCAAAGTTTATTTTTTCAGGTTCGGGTATTTTAACCCGGACCGGTGATTTTTAAAATAAAACCCGGACCAAGTCATATATCGGGTTGGGTCGGTTCGGTTATCGGGTTTTGGGTCGGTTTTTCCCACCCCTACTCATAAGATTGACTTGGATTTCTTATCAAAATAACCCCTCTTCACTTTTATGATAATCTCTTTAGAAGAGCAATAATGCTGAGATTATATCATTATATTGTTAAAATCTTAAGGAAAAAAATTAAGATTTTGTCCAAATCTTAATTTACGGCTTTGCGCAATCCTTTCGGGCCGAAGTGAACAAAATTGTTGAAAATCTTATTTGAGCAATCCTTTCGGGGCGAAGTGAACAAAATTTCTACATCTATTTATATGCTTACCATTTTAATATAAGAAAATGAAAAACTAATAATTTCACTTTTTATGGATTTTCCTATAATAGTCTCATATAACTGTAGTCCGATAATAATCTCACATTTGCATTTCACCTTCTTTCGTCGGATCTTGTCCGATGACTTGTTATTTCAGTTTCTTTTATGTTTTTCTTTACAAATCATTTAACCACAAATCACACCTTGTACAAACGGTCTCACATATGATTTTTCATTTTTTCCTGCTAAAAGTTTTCTCTTTCTTTTCTTTATCCTCACAATGCTTTTATTCCATTTTCCTCTTTATTTTCATTTATTTACCTTGTTTTTGTTTATGTATTCCTTTATTCTTTTATCATAAGTGATTTATATAATATTTTTTTTTACTGTTTTTTCCTTTTTTTCTTCACCCCATTTATATGTTTTCTTCCTTTTTATGTATTCCTCTTCATCGTAGTCTCTTTTTATAATTTTATACGGCTACTTGTTTACATTTTCTTTGATTTTTCATTTCTTTTATTTCCTTCTTCCTTCTTTTTTCCTATTTCTCCTTATATTACGGAGTAGAAGTCATTGTTTCTTTTCCTCCTCCCCTTTTCACCTCCATCTATTTTCATTAGTCTTGAATCTGTTAGAAACTTCTGACATGTTGTTTTAGCAATATTATCTTTTCTTCTCTTTTCGACTAATCACACTTCCCTCTATCTCATTTCATGTAAAGAGTATATACATGCTTTTTTCTTTCTTTCTTTTCGGCAATTCTCTTGTTTTCTCTTAACTTTCCTTCTTCGCTGGTTTTTTATTTGGAGATTTTTCATCATATGTAATGGAATTAATGTTGATCTCACTTAAAGAAACATGTTGATGCAGAAAAGAGAAATAAAAACTAGTGGTGGAATTAAGCTAAGAAAAAGAAAGAAGAAAAATAAGTGAAGTTAAAAAAGAAAGTAAAGTAAAAAAATAGCAGGGTGAGAAAAGATCTTTTTATAAGAGAATTGATCTGAAAAATGACATAGAAATGAAAATGAAATAATAAACGGGAAAAGGAAAAAGAAGGGGAAAAAATGAAAACATAAACATGACAAAGACATAAAAATAAGAAGGCCACAAAAAAGAGATCAAAATAGTCAAGAAGATAAAAATAAAGGGAGAAAACTTTAGGAAGAAAAAAGAAAAGGTATATGATACGTGGGACCATTTTGAGAAATTTTTTGATATGTTGGATTTATGATTTAATGTTTTGCAAAGAAAAGGAAAAAACCTTAATATCATATTATCAATCGATAAAGGACCAATGAAAGAAGATGAGATGCAAATGTAGAATTATTATGAGATTACGGTTAGGTGGGACTTGGATGGACCCGGTCCAACGGTCCAACCCGGTCCTAAACCGGACTAGGTCCGGAATTTCGGGTTTCGGGCCGGAGACCGAACTTATCCGCCCTAGAGCGGTTCATAATCCCGATTTAGAATTATGGGGAATTGGGGATCAAATCTGGTGGTTCTAGTCCCGATTTCGATCATGGCCTATATTTTTTTTGGTAAGGTTTCGAACCGAGGTAAAAATAATAATAATAAAATAGAACGGGAACTGGGCTAGAGACCAGACCAGGCCAGCCGGGTACTCGGAAACAGTGGCGGATTTATGTTTTATATTTTTTGTGTTCAATTTATTCATACAATGAAACCTTCAAAGAACACTAAATAATTAAACAAGATCTATACATATATACTAGCAAGTTTTTCAAAATTTTAGGTGTTCATAAGCACACCTTTGAGGCTTTGAACAAAGTGGCTCCACCACTGCTCGGAAACGCCCAGACCCGAAACAAAGCAGGTCAGACCCGGGCTGGAGCAATTTTTTGGAATCAGGACCAGAGTACTAGGGGTGGACTCGGGCCGGGCGGCCCGGCCCGGAACCGGCCCGGCCCGGTTACTGTTTGGCCCGGCCCGGGGCCCGGTGGGTCCCCCAGTTCGGTTCGGCCCGGCCCGGCTGCTGGGCGGTTCGGGCTCGGGCCCTGTTTTTGGTGAACCGGCCCGGCCGGTTCGGGCCCGGTTCGGGCCGGTTTTTAGTTTTTTTTTTTTTTGAATTTTTTTTAAAGTTTTGGGTTGGATTAGGTAATTTGGGCCATTTGAGGTGGTTTGGGGTTGAGGGGGAGGGGTTGGGGGTTAAATAGAAGAGCCAAAAAAAAACAAATTAGAACCGGTTAGGCCCGGCCCGGCCCGGTTTGGCCCGGAACCGGAACCGCCCACCGGCGGTTCAGGCTCGGACCCAACTTTCTTGGCCCAGGCCCGAACCGGGCCCGAGTCCACCCATAGACCAGACCGACAAGGGTTCATTCCTAAGTAGGACTATTCTAGAAAGACGGGTAAAAGGTGTGATTATTAGTTTGATTTTCCCTTTTAATATAACACATAAATGATACATTTATACGTGGTATTAGAGTCTATAAAACTCAAACGAACAATCAACCGGATAAAAACTTAAAACTGACAATACACTTTGAAACTGATAAGACTTCGAAAGGCATATATATTCAATCAATGGGAAATTTGAACCATGGTTCCTATTTGTTGCAGCAGGGAAGTTAGTCTTTTTTTATCATAAAACTGTTCTTAAAAAATGCTTTACTCTTCAGAGATAACCATGTGTATAAAAGCCATCAGAAGTGGTTTGGTAATGATTAGCTATATAACCATGCGCACAAGTAGTTTGGGAGAGTGGTAAATGGGGCTTGCTAATGCCTACAAAAGTAAAAATAGGTCGTGAGTTTTTTATTGGACAAAAATAGGTCGTGAGTTAAACATCCCAAAAAGTGTAAATGGTAATGAGCTTCAGGTCAGGCTTTCACACCAGAATAAGAGTCAAACTATACAAACACATCCCAATTCTTAAACCAAACCTGGAACTAGTCAGGCCCAAAGTAGCAGGTACTTGACAGAGGCTCCCAGGAAAAATACAGGAGAACATGCAATGTAGTTACTAGTTATCAGTTCACCACACCCATTCACTGTATGTTAATGTTTTATACATATGCAGTAACACACTTGTAAGCTGGGCCGCAAACTAAGGACTTAGCACCAAACATTACCTTGGAATATTAAACAAAAAGACTCACCAGATTAGCAGGGTTTTCTAAATAAAGAACAATCGCCTTACACATGGAGAGGATGTCTTCTGTGAAGTCGTTCGGTTTTGACCATCCATAACGTGTTTTAAAATGAAATGGAGGGCCTCGTCACTTCGTCAGTCTGGTGAAAATCAACTGTGACACGTATTTCCTTTGAAATTCAACAGTGACACATATCCCAGATTGACAGTCTGGGAATCATTAAAATAGTGGTGACAATCTAAACATTAGCGGCTCTTTAGAAGAAGGGACAAAAATATTCCTTTATTTTCATCAAGTTCAAATCCATATCGCTCAATTGCAAAGTAAAGCAAAGTAACTGAAGAAAGAAACCAGTAAGAAGCCATTGGCGTATGCAGAAGTGAGTCAATTACAAAAAGGTCTTGTTGTAGAAAATAAAGTGAAATAAAAATACAAGTTATACTGATGCAAGGCAGGAACCGAACTTGTACCGTTTATATGTCAAATACACCAAATGGACTCATTTGCCTGCACAACAAAGCACATCTGAATTTCAGCATTATTTTCATAACTTTAATTATGAAATTTGTCTTAAAGAATCTCTTATGGTCACAGTTCGGATTTCTACACCAAGTATTTACAGCATTTGTAACAATCAAGAATTATGATCCACTCATAGAGAAACTGAGATTTATAACAGGGACATGACAGGATTGACCGAAAGAAACGTGTCTCATGCAGCTATGGTCGAACTTACTAGAGCAGTAGAGCTGTATTTAAAGGTCCACAAAACCACTGAATGGCAGCACTTCCTTTTAGTATCGAGGTCAAATCATAAATTATGAAGATAATAAAGAGGGTCTGCAGAGGTTAGTTATGGAACTCTAACCTGCTCTTGTAGCATGGAAAGACTGAAGGATGTTTCTCTCCCAAAAGGGGAAGGAGACTCGCCTCATGTAATCCACATAATTAAAACAAATTCCTCAAATCAAATTTGTATGGGGAATTCAGAATGTTGGGAGTTCTCTTTGGGCTAAAAGGCTCTCCAAGAACTCCTTGAGATGTAACAGATCATGGAACTAGAGGATTCAGAAATCCAACTTCTTCCTCGTTAAAAATATAGCAAAGGCCAAAGATGAACATTCAATAGGGTAGAGAGGTACTCAGGTGCTCAATCCCTACTTGAGTCATTTTTATTAAAGGAAAATTGAGATCCTACAAATAGAGTCGTAAGAAATCAAGGACATGGAAATAGTCAAATGGAGCAGTATGGTCTGGTACTCTGGGCTTCAGTGTGAGAGTAAAATATTAGATCTAGCATTTGTTTTAAGAGTTTATTAAGACCAACACTTTGGAATTATCCATCCTTTTTGTTTTACCCCAGTCATTTCCCAGGCGTTGTCCCCATGTATCAATGGGTGGTGGACTGGTGGTGATGTGATCACCACCCAATGAGTATGTGTCACATAGGAACGTATTTTTTCTTTTCCAATTTTAATTTCCCTTGTTCTTTTATTCTGAAAAGAAATTAGAAAAGGAGGCATGTTTTAGATGTGTCTCTGTGTCACATCAAAGTGTCTGGTACATATTTATAACACCGATTTTGTGATACAAGTGCAAATTGTTTCAGTTACATTGAAAGGGAATAAGGTGTTCACAATGATTGATGAATAAGTTGTATTGTATCAAACAATTATCATATTGTTTTAGTTTGAGCTCAAATTTGAGCTTAGCAAGCTCCCAAATCAATTCCAAGCTGAATTTAAAGTTCAAATTTTGTTCAAGCCAAGCTCTAGCATAGTAGTATTCAGTTTGATATTTTTTTACTATCAAAGGGTAAATTCTATTTATGTGAAAATTTGAAACCTTTGGTATAATTTTGTAGTTTTAAATATGATCATTAACAAATAGACCTCCTAATCACTCATCAGCAAGGGATATGTGATTAGTATTTGCATCAAACCTCATTTCTTCTACATTCATATATGTTTGTCGAGTACTTGAGTGTCAAACATCTATTGAGTGTCAACAACTATTTGCATCAAGTTTGACTGGGCTCATTAACACCCCAAGATGGAGGTGTGGGACTCCTGGCTCTGACAGCCAGTGCATGCAACTTAGATCCAGATATCTCGAATCTAAGGGTATCTCGAATTTGACCTACTACTTAGATGGCTTTAACCTACTACTTAGATCCAGATATCTCGAATTTCTAAGATGTGAGTCTGTAAAAAGAGATTTTTACAGGGCTATATCTAAGAGAACTTTGCAAAAGTGTGATGGACTGATATGTTTTTGCAAACATGGTTAGAGTTAAGTCTTTTGCAAGCTGTAGAACGATTATTTGCAATGGTTGTTGGAAAGAAGCTTCTGTTATATGTGTGTACTAATATTCTGCATGAAAATGAAATAACAATTAAATAATGGAAAAATAACTTTAAATAATACCATCTATCATCCATGAACCAATAATAATACAAACTTCGAAAATGACTTTTAATAATATCAACTAATTGAATGTCAAACAAAAATGATATGGAGTCATTTTTTGACAAAAAGCCCAATCATTGAAGACATCAAAAGCTAATGACAATCCATCAAATAAATGATATTTGGAAATATATTCACTAATTAGATATTTTCATACAAGCTTTTGATGACTTAAATGGTTGATTTTTTAGTAAAAAAATGCTCTATATCACTTTTTATCTATATTTATATAGTTGGTATTATTTAAACTTATTTTCAAAGTACGTATTATTCTTGATTCACGGAAGATAGTTTGTATTATTTAAAGTAATTTTCCCTTAAATAATTAAGGAAAAACGTAAGATAACTTGTAACCGAGCCCAACGCATTGTTTCGTTAAGACGTTTTTTCCCGACACACGTAGCCAACGCCTCCCAGGATAGAACAGTTCTTTGCTCCCAACGGGATTCCGGCAAACTCAAAGATGCAAAGAAGGAAGAGAATATGGAGGATTGTGTGTTGATATTATATTTATCAATACGTAGCAAAAAAATAATCTATAGTCTTTAGCCATGCGGAGTTGACCGGTCAAAGACCCGCACCCGACCCAGCCGGACAGTACCGCGCTCGTGCAGAATTAATTCCACGCTCATCGTATACGGGTCTCACCGCATAACAAAACTTCGGTGCCCCAAGACCCAACCCAATAGCTAAGCAAAGCTTATACAAAGGCACTACCTTAACTCTTCATTTTCGGCGTGGGACAAAGTCCTTTCCGAAACTGATTTTAGGCAAGTTCGGAGAACAATTTCTCCTTCATTTATAAATGGTTTTGAACACTTCAGTATATGGTTGCATTCACTTTTCAGAGTACTATAGTTGTGGATCCTTTATTTATTTTAGCTCGAAGGTGATCATTATATTATTAAAGTAAAACCATTTTTCCAACAGCTTCATGGTGCTAAAACTCAAGGTGTTTTTCTAGACTATAACAACTAATCATCCTGAAAGTTTAATACTACCTCCGTCCCACTAAGATTGGGACAATAGAAGGTGGCACGACTATTAAGAAAAGCGGGTTTGTGTGGTTGATATTAAATTGATAAAGTATGAATAAAGTAAGAATGGTTTAGAGCCACACAAAGTTTACCAAATTTGGTATGGGACAATCTTAGCGGGACGGAGGGAGTATGTAGCAAGGTGTTTTAAAGTGAATAGGATTATAGGAATGTGTATGTGTTGAATGCCTTTGAGTCTATCAACTAAAATTTTGAGAGACTTTGCAATAAGGAATCTTAGATTCAGTCATTAGTCACAAGCTCAAGAAGTTGTGAAATAAACTAATGTATTCACTCATGTAACAGTTGATTTATTTTTTATATTCCTTTTTAAGTATAAATGACTACTACTTAATTGCATAAAGTTGATTACTTGTTGATCTAATTTAACTAAAAATAAGTACTTGGCGGTTTATTCAATGCGAAGGCACTGGTTGGGGAAAAAATGACTACATGCTTTGATTCTTGTAAAGTAAAACAACAAATTATCAGAGAACTGAGACCAACCATTGGTCCAATTAGTTTAGATGAGGTGGACGCAAATGAGCATTTGTCTCACATAGAGGAGGATGCAAATGAAGAATTAGTGTTAAATGATCCAGTTGACTCAACTTGGGGTGAAATCAAAAGGTTTGGGCCGTAGAAGAGATGTCATATTGGTAAATAATGCTTGTAAAAATTTAAAGGAGAAGATTCAAAAAATGAAAAAAAAAAAAAAAAACTTATAAATCAAAATGAAGGTTCATGCACAAAGAAAAAAGAAAAGGAAAAAGGAAGAAAAAGAAAAGGAAAAGAATTCTGATATTGGGAAAGAAAATGATGATGCAATGTCTTCCACCTAAGAAAGAAAAAGCAACTTACCTCCTAGAGCAGGTCATCTTCCGGTGAACTGGCTGTTTTCTAAAGTACACACGGGTATGTGACACTTCGTTTAGTAGTTAGTACATGAGTTAATTTGATGGATTGCTAAAATATGAAGGCTTATATGACCCTTTTCCCTTTTTAATACTGAGAACTTTGATTTGATGCTTGCCCATCCACATTACTTTTTAGTAAAAAGCGACAATAAGTTTTGCAATTTAAATTTAAACCAATTTAGTGCTACGACTCTATGTTGCTTTGGTGCACATAACAATTAAAAATTGTATCCATGGAGGGCTCCTCCTCTAGTTTGATTCCATGATGACTGCTGCCTCATCATAATCCAGGCAAAGAGTTATCATAGTGGATGGCAAAATTACCTCCTGCCATAGCCTGCTATTTTGTTATCAAAAAATTCATATGGCGGCCAGCTTAAATTTCTGCCGCCAACATGGCCGCCATCTGACAACATTGCAGCACTGCATACAAAGAGGAGGAATCCAATCATCTAGGTCATTCAAAACGACAGCCTTGAGTGAGTTGAGTCCATGACTCTTGAAGTCAAGAATTTGATGGCTGCTTCTCCCTCATCTACTGGAAGGACAGACCAATGGTACTTGCATAGTTTAAACAAAGAGAGGATGCCAACCATGGATGTCTCTTCTTTCCATGTCAATGATGATGTGGTTCAATGCAAGTTACCAGTAAATGGTGGTAAAATTATTGGCCTCGCTTGAATATTTGCATGATTTACAAAAATATAATGGTTTAGTTAAAACCTTATTTAGTTTCAACTAGGGCTGTTAACGAATCGAGCTTTTATCGAGCTATTCGGGTTCGAGCTCGGTTTCGAACCTAACGAGCCGAGCTTAACGAGCTTTCGAACTCGAACCCGAGCTAAGTTTTAAGTTCGAAAAATTAATCGAGCCGAGCTCGAACATAGTAGTATTCGGCTCGGTTCGAACTCGAGCCTATCGAACACCCTGAAATTATAAATATATTTTATATATAATCAAAATTTAATTATAATTAGTGTAATTTTATGAATTTAAATATGATTATTAGCGAACCGAATACTTGTCGAATCATTCGAGCACGAGCCTATTAACGAGCATCACCTAAAATTTTAAATTCGACCAAATTTATCGAGCTTATCGAGCGCTCGGTTCGAACATCGAACGTCTATCGAGCCGAACACGAGCCTCATTTGTAAAGCTCGTCGAGCTTCGAGCTCGAACCCGAACACCATTAATTCCTTATCGAGCCGAACTCGAGCTTTAGGTGTTCGGGCTCGGCTCGGCTCGTTAACAGCCCTAGTTTCAACATCTAATAGCACTTAAGCTAAAGGTACCTCTCCAACCCTTGTCTGAGAAAAAACGTACGACTGAAGGTACAATTCACTAGAAATGTCGAAATAAGAAAGCTTTAGGTTAAGAATTCACATTAACCGCCAATTACTATTATTCAACTTTCCAAGATTTTTTGTGGCATTCGGTACAAGATTAAGTATGCTAATATAAGCTTTAGCTTAGGAGTGTATTTGTTATACACCGGAAAGGATATTACAAAGGTATTATAACTTTATCATAATCTAGCTCAGACCAACTAATAGTTTTAGGTATAGCTTCCTACGGTGACCATCATACTTATACCTAAGCAGTTACACCAAATTGGTTTATACGGAGTAATATTTAACAGATATATCACACATTATATTTCACAAGTATTCCAATTATTCAATTTCTCTTCATAGTTCGTAAAAGGAAATTTTGTGTGTTGAATTTCTAATCATGGATTAACATCACCTTATCCTAGTCTTAATGATAAGAGAGTGAACTTTGCTCAACGATACCTGACACCAATTGAGAGAATAGCCAAATTCATTACGACTCGGCCTTAGGACCTGAAATTCAAAAATCAAGCTCGAATGAAAATAAATCATGCGGGAATCCCGAATATCGGAAACCAGGAAGTTTGAGAACACAGAATATACCATGGAGAGATGGGGGGCGGTGGTCCTTGCCCCAGCCGACGCCACGAGTGGCGTCGAGGTACTGCTGGACGAGGTGGCGGCACTTCTGGAGGTGGTTGACACCCTCGATCCGGTAGCACCAGCGCACCTTCTCGCGGAGGATCTTGGCCTTCTCGATGTCGACCCACTTCTCCCGCACCAGATGCTCCCTCATCTCTAGCATAGCAACCGGGTCCTTATATGGGTTCTCCGGGTCGAAGTCATCCGGAGCTCCCTCATCGAACACCACACCCTTTTTCCTCCCCATTCTCAATCCCTCTCTCGCCCCCTCTGTCTATGGGAGTGTGGAGTTTTCAGAAATGTGAACACTGCAGGGCTTGAGCTCGTGGCAACTCGTGCACCTAATTAGGCCGAGCAGAGCAGTTTGTAAACTCATGTTTACATTTAAAATAATGTACATTTAATATTAAAATGTCAAAAATAATTCTATACATATATAGACATACAAATATTCATTAATACAAGTATATATGTAGTAATATAATATGTGGAGAGCTATACCCCTACCACGCCCTATACCATGTACTACCACCCCTACCCCCTACCCATAGTCCCATATCCCTTACCACGACCTTATCCTCTACCCCTACTCCCCCTACAACCCTTCATACCTATACCCCTAACACCTACCCTACTTGTAGGGGTGGGGTCAGGGGTGGGGTCGACGTAAGGTCAAGTGGTATGGGGTAAAGGGGTAGGGCCGGGATATGGTAAAGGGGGTACGAATTCAGGGTGGAGTAAGTGGTCAGGGCTTCAGGGGTAGGGATGTAGGGGTGGGGTCGAGGTAGGGGAAGGTGGTAAGGGGTCGGGGTAGGGAAGGGGTTACGGGAGGAGGGGGTGGGGTGGGATTAAGGGGTTACGGGGGGTTGGGTAGGGTGGTAAGGGTTAGAGGTCGGGGTGGGGCCATGGTAGGGGCATGTGGTAGGGGGTTAAAGGGGTAGGGTCAGGGTAGGGTAAGGGATTACAGGTGGGGGTGAGGTAGGGTGATAGGGGCTAGAGGGTAGGGGATAAGGGGTTGGGGGATTGAGGTGGGGCCGAGGTAAGGGTATGAGGGGTTGGGTGGGGGTGGGGGTAGGATGGTGTAGGGGGTGGGGTCGGGGGTGGTGCCGAGGTAAGGACATGTGGTAGGGGGTCGAGTGGGGTAATGGTCGGGGGTAGGGTAGGGGTTAGGGGTAAGGGCAAATGGTAAGTGTAAGCGTAAATTCGGAAACTGGAAAGGCTTAAAGTGCCGCTTAATTATTACACGAGGGTGGTATGCTTACTAAGCGGCACTTTAAGCACCCTTTCGGTTAGTAAGCAGCTTGCGTTACTTCACATGTCTTACTAACCTAACTGTGACTTTAGCAGCGAAGTAAACATCTCCTTAGTAAAGTCATGTATTTACATAAGGCGTTATACAAGGACAATAAGGCGTTATATAACTCCATGAAATTCAGCTAACTCATGTTTAAAATCTCGTAACTACTCATATTTGGGGAATAAAAATATAGGACAAATTCCCTATTCAAATGATTAAATCAAAGGTTATTATAATTGACTCGGAGTATAGAATTGTCCTTCAAATCAACCAACAGTGATAGTTTATGAGGGGGACGAGTCATTGATAGTGTCACAGACAATTTCAGGGGGAAACAGTAACATTTGAGTAAAATATATTTACAATTGAAAGAGTGTTCAATAATAATTAAACAACAATATATCATGTTGTAGTAACTATTGTTGAAAATTTGAGCACATATAACTCATAAACAAACTTGACAGGATAGCAAGAATTATAGACACACTAGGGAATGGATCACCGCCCGCTCATACGAGCTCCAAACAACTTCTTATACATTTTTGACAATTATAAGAATAAAAAATAGCAATTCGGGAAGATGAGTCAAAGGGGGCGGGTAGGTTTTTTTTTTTGCGGCCCATGCTCTCAACAATGCGGCAATAACTTAAATGTGAAAATCACGGGGAAAAAACCTTGTTGAAGTTTAGTCTCGTAGATCCGAAAGCTCAACATACGCTTTGGATATTTAAGGATGTTTGTTGTGCTTAAAAGGTGTATAAAACATAAAAAAAAGTGACTTATCAATGAACTTGGGAGCTAGATTGTATTACGTAATTCTGTGATTTCACTGAAACTACCCGAACGGTCTGTCGGTGTGAGTTCAAATACAAGAACAAGAGAAATGATTCTATTTCTAAGCTCTGAGTATGAAAATGCTAACCCTTTATAATGCATTAAATGCTGATATTTATACTAAGAGGGAGTAGATGAGATGGACATGTGGCCAATTCCAGTTGGTTGTTGCCTTTGCCACCTCTGTGCCCATGCTCCCACTTGTTCTCGTCATACTTCAGCATTAAATGCGGCTGCCACCTGCTGATCTCTCGTTTGGGACCCCGTTCGGGGTGCAGGCTCTCTTAAGATAAGGTTTAGATGACAGTGCTTTATGAATTACCCCTAATTAAACGAGAAGTGCCGAATGCCGGTCGGGGACCGCGGCCGGGGTGTTCGGGATTGCTTTGGGCCCTATGTTCCCTCTGGGTCTCTCTCTGCTTTGGGGCGGGTATATTGGGCCTGGATCCAATATCCCAACAAACCTTCATAAAAGTTAATAATAATAATATTATTTTAGTAAATAGAATTTACATATATTTAGAAACTACATTAAAAGTTTTATAGAATCGAAAAAACACTCAAATTTGATAAAAGTTAGATATACAAAGAAAAAAATTAAGAACAATTTAGGTTAACTAGAAATTAGTGGAAAGGAACATTTGTCACCAATAAAGGTAGTATCAATTATGGTGTGCAATTTTGTGTACATCTTTGACACATTATTCTCCAACATTATATATAAAGACCTTTTTTAGAAAAATTGTCACTCATTTAACTATAAGGTCATGCATTTCTCGGTCTATGACCTCGTAGCTTTTTTTTCTTCAAATTTGATACGTGAATAGATGTCTAGTCTTTTAATGCTATTATTATTATTGTTATTGTTATTGTTATTGTTATAGTCATTGTTATTGTTATTGTTATTATTATTTCCGGCGGTACCCTCAACGTAGATTGAACAGTTTCTCTTATTATCTTTTCCGTTATATATGGCTATATGCTGCTTAGCATTACACACTCCTACATATTAGTCATCTGGCCAAAAAACATTACGTAGGAGTTATCCATTTATGTTAACCGTTGCATTAATTTTTTTTATATTTTTTGGCACCTTAATTTCTTGATTCCCCTTACTCTATTTCCAACATTATATATTGTTGGGCTGCGAGGAAGTCGTGCCAGCAGCCCCGTGCAATCGAAACGGGACGCTTTACCTTCATATCTTAGTCAAATAATTTGCAGCCCCATCATATGAGTCACGTCCTTCTGGAAGACTGAATAAAATAAGAATTCTTTCTACACGAGAACATGTTCTGGTAAAAATGTACTTAATGTCTCATCCTTGCATACAATAGAAAGACTTATAGAAACTCTATCCCGCTACGCATGCGTTAAATTAGTCTTCCAATTTATTGTTATCATTTTTTTTTTTGGAAAAAATCACAAGAAAAATCCGACTTATTAGAGATCTTCTAATATGAATCTCAGGTATGAGTAATTCTAGAATAAGCTCACCTTTACTAGTAGTCTTCCCAGATTGATCCAGGTTACCCATGACTTGTTCCACCGGTAAAAAAAATTATAATAAAAAGAAAAAAAGATGAACAACCGGTTTCTTCATCTTAAGTGAACCATTCTCCTACCTCCTTCATCTCTAACATCCAGATTTTCACCATTTTTTAAATTTTCCTTTTTTTATCCTCCTCTAACGCATAAGTAAATCTCCTTTCCACCTTCATTTCGTTCTCAAATTTGCACCTCAAATTTGTTTCATTCTTTCAATTTCATATTTGGAAAGTTTAATTTCATGAATCCAACTCAAATGTGACACCATTAATCGTGCCCACTGATAAAACTTGAATGATGGACGGCCGGCGATGGAGACCGGACCGGCTGGGAAATTGCTTGGGATGAAGGAAGGTTAGCTACGATTCTACCAAGAAAGTTGGCATGGACGGAGGGTCGGCTTCGAAGAACAACTCTAAGGGGCGACGGTGAAAACGGACAGTCTTCGTCGTCGAGGGAAAGTCAGTTGCCCGTTGAAGATCTGGCCTTGATGGCGAGGATGGAACAATATGAGGAAGATGAAACCAAAAAAGGAAAATGAAAAGGAAAAACAAATAATAGAAGAAGAAGATGGGACTAGAGAGGACAAAATAAAAAATAAAAAATAAAAAATAAAACAAGAAGAAGAGGAAATTTATCAGATGCCATTACTACATTTGATAGAAAGCAGGTAGGGGAAAGAAAAAGGGCTTCGACAGAGTTGATGGAGAAGAAGATCGGAGAGAGAAACAGAGAAAAAGAAAAAGATGAAATAAAAGGAAAATGAAAAAAAGATAATGAAGTCCAATTAAAACCCGCCACGTGGTCAGGTGACCGACCAAAACTGTTTATTCGGGTCACCGGTTCATTTCTAGAAGACTGCCAGTATATTTGGGATTATTTTGGAATTACGTATATTTGGGATTAATATTAGAAAGTTGTTCATAGTTGAGATTATTGTTGTGAATTTATCCTTTTTTGTTAACATTATTGCAAATATATTTAGATACATTTATGGGTTTTTGTTGTTATGTGAATATTTTACTCTCATAAATTGAATTTGGAAATCACATCTCCAATGCACGTTTTTTTATCGTCAAAAGGGGCTTAGATTAAAATCACAACATTCAGAAAAGGGCTAAAATAACAAAAGCACCACAAGCAACCATCCGCCCTTGGGCCAGACTCCGAGTTAATCACCTTTGACAAAACAATATAACTCCCTGATCCGAAATTGGGCATCATTGAGCCAATAATGGTTACTGCAGAACTCTCATTCCCAAACCTAATGCAAGAGTTTTACAATAATAAAAATAACCAACAGAAAAATAAACAGTCTGATCTTGAAAAGTAAAACGCAAGAAAAAAGTAAAATTAAAAGGATGCCTCCAAACCATGGATTCTCCTGCATTCCACGGCGGCGGTTCCGGAGGGGGTGATTTAGTAGTACATTAGCTTCTTTCTCACCTCGCCTGCTTTTCATCAAGTTCATCAATTTCCGATCCGTGAGAACAACTCCCATCACCAGAAATTCAGCCCCCTTCTTGGTTGAAACAATCTCTTCCATTCGTTCCAAAGCCATCATTTTGTATTGTTCCAGCATCTCTTCCATGAATTATCGAAGCTTGTGACCTCCATCTAAACTGCCGAAGCTCCATCCAAACCTGTCGCCTATCAAA